TGCCTCAAATGTTATGTTCGGGCGTCTAGAACACAAAAATTTCGCGGGGGCATGCCCCAGACCCCCTACGACAGTGTTGTCTCAATCGGCCCAACTTTCGGCCCCCGCTTCCGGCCCCCCCCTTTTGGACATTTCTGGATCCGCCCCTGGTGTCTTTTAATTACTTTTAAGTCCTTCAAAATTCAAGGATTTCCCCTCTTAAAAATGATTATAATGAATCAATGAACCCAAAGAGAAAAGGAAGGTTCGGGTTCTTCCCGGGAATATGTTGATTTCTAAATGGTGGGAAATGAGCTTTCCCGACTTCTGAAGTATCTTTTAATGACTTCAATCAATCATCATGAATCAATGAACCCCAATTTTTCTCATTCGTATTACAGTAAATATGCCTTATGTTGAGTAATTGCATACGTAGTCTTTTGACATGAATCGTTAAATCCCAAAAAGAAAGGGGGGTCCTGTGGTTCTTCCACAGGAAAATTTTGACGCCTAACTGGCGGGAAATGAGCTTTCCTGACTTCTGAGATGTCTTTTAATGACTTTTAAGTTCTTCAAAATTCAAGGTTTTCTCTTCAAAACGATTCCATGAATCAATGAACCCTAATGAAAAAAGGGGGATTCTATTTCCCCAGGGAAAAAATGTTGATTTGAAATGGCAGGAAATGAGAAAATCCTTACTTCTGAAGTGCCTTTTAATGACTTTTTAAGTTCTTAAAATTCAAGGTTTCCGCTCTTGAAAACGGTCAGGTAAATTTTTCTCATTCGTATTATGCCTTATGTGCGTATACATACATAAAAAATTGAGTAATTGCATACGTAGTCTTTTGACATGAATCGTTAAAATGTCTTTTAAATGACTTTTCAAGTTCTTCAAAATTCAAGGTTTTCTCTTGAAAACGGTCAGGAAATTTTTCTCATTTTTTATTTTATGTGTGTATACATAGCCTACATAAACAAATGAGTAGTTGCATGCGTATTCTTTTTCCATGAATCGATAAATCCCTAAAAGAAAGGGTGGTCTGGGGGTTCTCCCCCGATTTTGATTCCTAGATGGCGTGAAATGAGCTTTCCCGACATTTGAAGTGTGTTTTAATGACTTTTATGTTCTCCAAAATTCTAATTTTCTTATTGTACAAAAAAAAAAAATCAACTCACAGGTCCTGAAAAGGTAGGTCAAGAATTCTTTTTTTTTTTCTATTTTTTTTGCCCAAGGGAAGGGTCAGGACCCATCAACCCCCCCCCCCTACCCCCCCCCCCCTCCAGATTCGCCAATGTAAATTTGTGAGAAAATATAACTGGGTCGGGGACTGGATAAACATTCTCTTTCCCATCCTTCTCCTTCTTCCCTCCTTTTCTTGCATTTCTTTCCGATCATACAAAAATCTTCAGACATTATATATTTTTTACCAAAAAGTGTTCCCCCCCCCCCAAAGTTCCACCAGCCGTGGAAGTTGAATCTGTGCAATGCAGAGCATGTAGAATAATATTAGGTGCACAATTTGAATCATTAAAACTTTTAAGATGGAACTAGAAATGAGACCGTGTAAATTTTTGCTTCAATTCAGTACGAATTTGAATAAAATTGTACTGAATGCTATAACTGGCACTAAATACAAGGGGAGTATGTGAGGGCACTAAGAAACTCCAGTAAATTTTATGAATACTTCTGTAAGTATTCCCTGCAATATGTAGAATGTTGAATGGTAAATAAAAAAAATTGAAATAGCAAGTGCTGAATGTTGGAGACAAGGAGATAGGCATATTTCCATTTTTTGTATAAATTATTTTTAATGTTTCCTGTAAATATATATAAATTATATTAAGTTAGTAAATTTTTAATTGATGATTGATGTATGAAAATGTATTAATAATAATGTTGATTTAGTGTTGTAATTATATATTTTTGTATCAGTTAATTTTAATGTTTCTTGTAAATAATATATACAATTTAATAATATTAAGGTTGTAAATTTTTAATTGATAATTTATGTATAAAAAATGTATTAATTAATGATGAAGTTTATTTTGTGTCGTAATTCTTATTATTTAATTGATTCATTTTTAAACAATAATTAATGATCTACAACAATTGAGCAATATTCTGCAAATTTTACACAATTTTTTTTTTTAAATCTTTCTATGAAATTTCAACTTATACTAAGCCTGAAGGTGGCGCTGTCCTCCGGGGGCCATCTTGGATGGTACACATACACAACTCTGCAATGATCCTGTCTAGTTAGTTGTTTAAAGGGTACAGTTATTATTGTATGGCCCCAGCAGTCGCCAAAAACGCACGCTATAGCGTAGGTACAGTAATAGGCCTATACGGTAGGTAGTGTCTTTTTTCTCGCAATGCTATCAAAACAGGGAAATGACGAAAAGAGTTAGGCCTAGGCCTACTACTACTAGTAATATAGGCCTACCTAGAGGAATTCGATCCAACTCGGCCACAGTCAACTCGGCCACAAGTCAACTCGGCCACAAATCAACTCGGCCACAAAAAGTTCGGCTGCAGTCAACTCGGCCACAAGTCAACTCGGCCACAAGTTAACTCGGCCAGCCACAAGTCAACTCGGCCACAATAATATTGCTGTTATTATTGGTGTCATTGTTATTATTGTTTTTATTACCGTTAGTTTTAATATCAATTATTAGTCTTAGCATTAACATTATGTATTGTTTAAATTATTGCTGATATTATTATTGTTACCATATAAATAATACAAAATTCTCGATTTTTTAAATTCATATTATTATTATATATTAGTCTTAGTATTATTATTTTAATAATAGTAATTTTAAAAATATTGTTATTGTCTCTTATACACATCTTTAACTGTTGTCCACTACTAGACTTCAAAAATA